AGCTGCTATCTTTCTTCTTTGACGAATATATCCAGAGCATATGATTCCTTTGGGTTGTAACATCCCTGCATCTGTACGACTCATCTGTCTCAGAGATATCGAGTGTAAATCCTTGGCCTAGGCACCATACATTGCAAACATTTATTAATTCTACCTGTGCTTTTGGTATATGGTATATCATAACAATGGGACGAAGCAGTATCGTCTACTGGTTTAGACTAGACCATAGCTTGTCATTCAGGAGTATCACACCGATTCGATTTCTGATCGCATCTTTACCATTATGTACTTAATAATACAGCCTTCAAACTTAAATTTAAAGAATCTATCAATAAACGCCATTCTTGAGAATTATATGACTGATTCATAGACTTGAGAAGACCACAAAGATCACAGCAATACTGATATCTATCTTTTAATTCAAAATTCTCACCAAATCGATTACTCCACTGGCGAAAAACCGTCACCCGGGTATCAGGAGCCTGAGTGATTTCCATTATTGAAGGAGTGATGCAAGTAATTCAGGCTTATTTTTTGAAAGCTGCAAGTCTACCACAAAATAAAACTTTTGGGTGTTTCATTCCCTCCCGCTACTAATGCTGGTGAGCGGGCAGTCCCTCCGGATTACGCCAGAAGGTAGCGTGAAAGGACTTCTTCAGTCTCCTTTCAGGAATTGTGGGAATGGATAGGTGGTGGTTTGGGTGAGAAAGATGAAACGTTCGAAATGAAGACAGAAGAGAGTGAAAGATTATCTGTGGAACGTTTCTGCTCCAGCATTTGCCTAAATGATCCAAGGAAATCACAGAAAAACTTGGATCAAGGCAGACGGACCCGGACTCGAACCGAATGCTAAGCAATGGACTAAACCTCTGGGTCATGCCGCTCGATAAGTCTTGCATTGAGAAATCAAATATGGGTTCACAATCTTTAAATTCAATCACCAAGATCGTCATCGTCAGAACTAACGTTTTGGCTCCAGGCTAGTTCATCCATTTTCGTCTTCATGTACCGTGGTTCGTTTTTTTTTGCTTAAACTGCTGGGTAATGACGGCTAGTGAACTCCTTCACAATGCAGTATTAGGTTTTGTGACCGACGCGACATCAGGGTGTTCTATATGTTTCTTATTTTTGCTATTAAAACCTGAAGTTTTGACAAGACAAAAGTAACAGCCCGTTGCACGATTTGTCAGTTTTCTCCATGAGTGGGAACTCCAAATTGCAAATACATTTCTATTTACTGCAGTACCATTTCATTAATATACTTCTACAATTCTCACATTCTACACCTAGAACTCAATTTCGTCAAAAGTTGTTATCGAAATTTAAAAATAGTACTGCTATTGAAATTGGTCTTTTCAGTTTTGGGAAAAAGGAAAAAAAAAATTTGTAAAGTAGTGTAATTATTCCTAAATAGATCAAATATCTTAGTTACTCACTAACTGTGTTCCAAAAGTCAACTTATGTATCCTTTTGATTTTTACCTAAATCTGGAATAAAAAAGCTCAGTATATACAGTTATTACCAATATTACGCTATTTCCTATAACCTAACCTGACATAACCTAACCTAACCTAAATCTGGAATAAAAAAGCTCAGCATATACAGTTATTACCAATATTGCTTATTTCCTATTCGGCCTAGGCAATCGAAATGCAGCTAGCTAAACATTTAGACATATCTGTACACATAGGCTCGAAAATGTTAGGTCCTTACAAGTTTCTATTTATTTTTTATTAAAGATTGAAATATTTGATATATTTACATTAATATACAACAAAGGACGTAAGAGATGAATGCAAACTTCGAACCACGAAAAATATATTGAAATAGCTACTTTTAAACCGAAGTGAATTATTATACTTGGATGAGTTCCCATCATGATATTTTCTAATCCTATTCAAATAAAAAGATATTTTTTCAACCTGAAATTTTATAGTTCAACTTCCATTTCCTCCCAAAATATACTTAAGCAAGTTTAGGTATAAATAATATATCTGAGACTTGGAGTTGAATTTCGCTCGAAACATATAAACTTATTATAATGTCGGAAAGCCAATATAGACTTCTGTGTTAGGCATGGCCATCGGAAATGTGTTTTCTAATAGAGAAAGACATAAAAAGTAAAGGGACCTAATCTGAGCCGTTTTTCTTTTTATCCTATTATCCTTGATTTTGAAATGCTAAACATAGCAGCACCCGCCACATTTTTATTCAATTTTCACTAACTTTATACGTTAAACATTAAAATTTTATAAGCGGCTATTATAATAGGTTATAAGAATATATGCAACCAACTATACGCCCGTGTGTAGACATCTAGGTCCGTTCACTTTTTTCCAATTGAACTCGAATAGGTAGGTACGTTAAAATTGGTAATTTTTAATTAAAGATCCTGATTTAACGATTATTCTGGATATCCAAAGTAAGTCTAATTAACCCCTATTTAAACGTTTTAGTCATCAGTTAGCTCCAGAATGTTGTACCATCATCTATCCTGTCTCTATAAATTGTGATTGCAAGGCATAAACTATTTTTCTTTTGGCGTTTTAATTTCCAAATACCATTCAAGCCTGAGGAAATGTTAAAGGTAGTCAAGAAAAATATCCCTGTTTCCCAACTTTTTATCCTGTTCATTGGAAACTTCACTCCATAAATAAAGTAAAAAAAAATAATAAAAACCCACACGCCACTGTTTACGATACAATTATCTTAAGTGGTTGATGTGCTATCGACTTTTTAATTATAATAACCTTCGCTTTCCCCAACGTGTTGCATTTATCATCTCTGAAAGGAGTGTGTATTTTTTCGAAAATAATATCGGTTTCGTGCAAACAAACGATAAAGATATTAAATCGAGGAAGCAGGAAGCAACTCCCCAAAATGTCAATTATAGCAATAGCACATTGAATAATACTACAAAAAAAGTTAAAATAAGTGACATTTTCTAGTTTCAAATGTACTTAGAATAAATTTAAATCATTTCAATACTGGTTTAAGACATTTATTAGTGTTAATTTTCTATAATCCAACCAATACGGAAAAAACGTCTTATAATTACTGAATTTTTGTAATATAACATGGTGTGTAATGGGGTAAGGTGAAAGGGAAATTCCCTGTATAAATACAACTTGAGATCTAGCGTTTTTTGTTTTATTTTATGGTCATTCAAAACAGACAAAAATAATGGTAATACTTTTAGGAAACATTTTTTAATAATAATGAATGGAGCTTTTAAATGTTTAATGAATTTTTTATAAACTTTACAATTACTTTAGGTGTTTAGCTCATTATCAGGAGTAGTTTACCTACTTTACTTTCATTACAGTGGAAAATATGGGTTGGAGAGAAGAATGTTCCAAATGAATGTTGTGGAGACTTAAAACTTTAATTCAATGAATTTGTTTTTTAAATTAAAGCAGCTTTGTTTATAACAATTGAGAAACCTAATCACAGCCGAAGACCTAAACTTTTTGTGGTTATATAGTTTTTTTGTAATAAAGAAGCCCAGTTGGATGTAATTTTATATCTTAGATAACTTTTTAAAAAGAAAATTAGAGAAAAATATTTTTCCGAATGAGAAAACACATTTTTACAGATTCGTGCTATTTCGTATTCAATTTTTTGCTTTAGAATTTTTGATTAAACATATTTTCTCAAAAATTTTCCAACTTTATTATGCAAAGAAAGAGATATTAAAAATTTTCACACTGTGATTTTAAAATTTTAAATCGCACGCTGGGATAAATGTTTAGGTATATCTTCTTATTTTCTTCATATATTTTTACTTAAAATTGCACTTTAGACTCAGTTGTTCTGTTGATAAATAATTTAGTTCATACAAATTTTATTCAGAATTATTAAAAAGAATTTTTAAAAGTGTTTACGTATTACCAGACTTTTATGAAGTTAATTAATTATTTTGTTTTTCATCCATTCTTCTGTTGCATTCAAAATTTGCATAATAATTAACATCTTTGAATAAAAAAATAATTTGCTGAAGGTTTTGACTTACTTTAAAACTCAATTTCTTTAAGAAAACTCAAGAATTGAAAAAGAACGCTTACACAGGTATAACACTCCTGTCAAAAAAATGTTCTCGGTAATGTTCAAAGCAGTCGACCGTCGTACCGACGTTGGCGTCGAGGGCGTCGCGCGCTCGTAATTAACTATTGCCGATTTTATACGCACTTTGAGATGACGAGAATGCGAGAGAGACGCTCTTTTCGTTGTGAAAGATACGACGCTACTAACGACGTCCAAGGCAACCAGCCAGCCAGCGTCCTGGTCATGTCCTGGTGATGGTTCTTCTTCTCTCTCGCATCTTTCCTAAAATTATCGAATCTCCAGGGTATATCCCGGAATCCGAAAAACAGATAACAACAATAAAGCCAAACTGCGATAATTCTCAGTTCAAATAAAATACTTTTGCTCTACATAAAGTGAATAATTATTCTTTACATTCGTAATTGTCCGAAATTTTAATAACAAATTCGAAAAAATTTTAAAATCGTTGCATGGGCCATTGATGGTCAAATAAATGCACGCGTAGTACATTAAAAAAAGCTTTGGAACTTTGTTGGTAGTACACAAAAGTTCTTCGGAATTGAGAGCACATCTATTAATAAAATTTTCTTGGGTTATTTTTTAACAAACACATTTGAATGGCACAAATTAGTGAATTAATTTAAAACGTTCTAGTTTTTTATTAAATAAAAGAAGCTCCCAATTAATGTTTTATATTCTTTTGTCACAATTTAGATATTACAAGAAAATGTAAATGCAGCTTTCCAGACAGTTATAAAGTAAAAGATTATATTTTACTTACTGTAAAAAGTTGAGTTTGGTATCCTAGCATTTTTTTTAAATTTTAAATTTGCCGCCTAAAAAAAGTGTATAAGTTTAATGATAATAAAATTTTGATAGGTTATTGAGCCACAACCATCGTCTTTTTGATTTGCGTGTCTATGATTTTTAAGAGATTACGAGTTCTATGGTTCTAACCTATGAAATAAACGTCAGAAAAACTGAAAAAGCGCTCCTATTTTTTTAATATAAGTTTAAACTGTATAGATATAAAAACAAAATGGTAAGCAATTAAATTGTGATAATATGTTTACATAATTTTTAAAGTTGTTTGCTTTTAGAAGCATTTACAAAAATCCAAAGTTACTTTCATTCATCCAGACTTAGGAATTGGGGGAGCTGAGAGACTTGTTTTGGATGTGGCGATTGTTCTTGCTAATGAAGGATGTGAAGTACAATTTTTAACTAATCATTTTGACAAGTCTCATGCATTTAAAGAACTTCAAGATGAAACATTTCCAGTAAAAGTTGTTGGTGATTGGTTACCTCGCAGTATTTCTGGAAAATTTTATGCCTTCTTTGCTTATATGCGTATGTTATATCTAGCTATTTTCTATTTATACTTTTCAACTGAAAACAAAAGTGATATATACTTTGTTGACCAAATACCAATAGCCATCCCTTTTATTAAATGGACAGGAGGCAAAGTTATTTACTATTGCCATCATCCAGATTTATTAGCAAGCTCCCCTGGAGGTTTTTTAAAAACGTTATACAGAAAACCTATTGATTGGCTCGAATTAAAAGGTACCTCAGTTGCTGATATCATTCTTGTAAATAGTAAATATACATCTTCAGTATTTAGAGATACTTTCCCAACAATACATAAGAAAGTAACAATTTTGTATCCCACAATTTCTCAAAGTTTGTATGAATCTATTTCATCTAAAACATTGACAAAACCAGTTGATGAACTTGTACCTGAAATCAAGGATAACACTGACAATAAATTTGTTTTACTATCAATCAATCGCTTCCATCCAGCAAAAAAGCTTGATTTGGCTATTAAGGCGTTAGCAGAGTTAAAAAATATAATTTCAACTGAAGACTTAAAAAGAGTTATTCTTATTATAGCTGGAGGGCATGACCCTAACTTTTCCATTAATGCCTCTTATTTTAATGAATTAGTTGAGTTAGCAAATGAAATGAAATTAAATAATAACATAGTTCTCATAAAATCGCCTTCTGATGAATTAAAAACAGATCTTTTACTTTCTTGTGATTGCTTATTGTACACACCTGAAAAGGAACATTTTGGGATTGTGCCATTAGAAGCAATGGCTGCAAGAAAGCCGGTAATAGCTCTTAATAGTGGAGGGCCAAGGGAAACTGTACTGAATGAGACAACAGGTTTTCTTTGTGACATAAATCCACAAAGCATGGCCGAATGTATTTCGAAGGTTTTAGACAAAAAAATTGCCAAAAAAATGGGTGATAATGGGAGGAAAAGATTGGAACAATTATTTACTAATTCTGTCTTCCATGAGTCAGTGGTGAAAATATGTAATAAACTTTTAAATGAATAAGCTTGTCGAATTTGTTAAAGAACATTTGTTATACTTCTTAATGTCATTTAACATATTCATAAAAAGAAAAGAAGTAATTTAAAGTTTTATTTTCATAAACTTACCTTTCTTTTTGATAATTGTGTGATTATTAATGCATATTTTTAATTGTTTTTATTGGAAAAAAATATCTAAAAAAAATATATGAGTCAGTAGCAACATAAACAGTTGTGGGATTCCGTAATTAAAAGACTCGTATTTATGCCAGAAACTTATTTATTCCTTCCTAGAACATGCCACACAACTGTAACACAGTCTAGGGTTTCCTCTCTTTATTCCTGTTTCTGTTTCTACTAACTAGCCCTTCGTGTTCTCCTATTCATTCCAATGTCTTCTCATTTTAGATTTATTTTATGTTCTATTCGTNAGTCTTTGTTCTATCTATTTTAAATTTAAAGTTGGCGCGTTAATGCTAGTGCTTTTTACGTCCCAGTGGCACCACTATTATTAAATTAAAGTAACTAGAGAGATAGGTTATAAAATTATAAACAGTCTGCTTAAAATATTAAGTAAAATATCAAGTCTAAACTCGTATTTATGCCAGAAACTTATTTATTCCTTCCTAGAACATGCCACACAACTGTAACACAGTCTAGGGTTTCCTCTCTTTATTCCTGTTTCTGTTTCTACTAACTAGCCCTTCGTGTTCTCCTATTCATTCCAATGTCTTCTCATTTTAGATTTATTTTATGTTCTATTCGTAGTGTTTGAAAATACCGTAGACCTCAGATGTTTCTTTTAGCATCACGGGTTAACAAAAAGTTTAAAAGTGTATTAAATACTTTATATATTTTTATATAGTACGTACAATTACAATGCATTTTCTGAATTACGTATATAATAAAAATCAAACAACAAAACGTACTAAAAAACAGAATTGCAGGTAGTTAAAATACAACCCTTTCATTAATGGCTAAATGGCACCATAAAAATCTAGTAACTGTTAACGAACCTGTAAAGGCTTCAATTGGTAGCAATAAATGTATTGCGTTTAAAATTTGTACTACTTATGTTTAACATATCGCTCTAGTTTTTCTTTATTTGTTTTTATATTATGTTACGGTAGATCACATTCTAGAATTACATATGTATGAACTTACATAAAAAATACAATTGCTGTGGGGATATATATAATAAATAGGTACTTAATATTGGCAAAACTGTTACAACAAAATGTACAGACACAACTTATTTGATCCCTGTACATTAATAATAAGTGGGGTACTTATGTTGTACGTAAAAACATCTTAAAATATACGTGAGGGGTCTGAAATTTTAATCAAATGTCCAAGATTGAAAAAACAACTTCAAACACTTAAAAAAACAATCGAAAAAATATAATAATAATAAAGGTAAAAAAAATATTCTTATTATATTCTAAAATTAGTTGTTTAGGAATCATATACAGTATAATATAACAACATATAATTGTTGACTTTTGCATTATTTTTTTTATATAATAAACTTAAAGAGAATGATAATGCCTTTTCTATAAGTCACTCTTGCTTTTAAACATTAATGTGATACTTTACAGGTATTTAAATAAATAGTTACTATCTTCATTAGTTTATAACTTTAAAACATCGTTTTAAAGCATTTTTTAATAATTAATTAATAAAAATTGTATTATTTCGGACATTTGATTAGATTTTCAATATTTTTGACGTAGTGTTTCCACTTAAAAATAAAATCACAGGACTATGAATAAAATTATCACAATCAATAAAATGATAACTAAAACTATTATAACGGTCCACTGACTACGATCTGAAAAAAAAAAGGTATTTTATCTTCTGATAAGCTCGCAATTTTATTTACTCAATAACTAAACCGATAAAAATATAGTCTAACATACCATTTGACATGTGTAAAACTTTGGCAACCTTTTTCATCGTAGAATCCAGTTTAGATTCTGTACCTTCCAACTCGGTACCAAAATCGTCTAACATCCTAAAATTAAAAATTTATTCAAAATTTTAATAGCCTTGTTTTCAGAGATGCTGCTGAATCTGTACTTAAAAACATTCGATAGGGTGAACCGAAAAACCAAAATATTTCGATGATATATCGAAATTTTCACCAACAAATAATCATTTGAAAACAACAACAAATACATAAAACAGCAATGAATTTTTTGTGAAAGATTTAAGAAATTCTTATTTGTTTGCCATTAGTGGCATTTATTGCAATTACTATATGGACCGAGTGGTTAATCCAAATTTGTTCAGTTTATCTTGCAATTGTTTCGTTTGTATTGCAACATGCAAATTCGTATCGTGAAGTCCCCAGGGTAACATTCGTTTCTATAAACGAAGGTTTATTTTGTTCACAGTTTAGTAATTAATTATTTGTTCACATTATGCGATGTTCACACTATCGAGTGTCCACTGTATCAAGTACAAAGTGATTTAAAATAATATACAAAACTTAAGCCAAGCTATACGTATTGAAATTGTATAATTTTAAACCGAAACATACCCTGCTTGTTCGTCGATTTCGATACCAATATGCTGCGAAATCCTCTTCAAAGATCCCACCGAATTACTGATATTGTCCAATTGATCATCCTGATGTCTCAGCATGTTTTGCTGATGGGATAAAGAGTCCGCGATAAAATTTCTTTGCGGACTATCAACATCATTTTCCAACTTTGAATATTTCGTTGTTCCATGTGTAGTAGTAACATGTGCTGGACTACTCTCTAAAAGCGGCTGAAAAATACGCAAATAATCAAAAATCAAATAAATTGTTGCTATAGGATTGAAACTTACTTGACGTGCAGTGCGGTCCCTATCTCTATTTCTGTTCATGTTAATTTTTTCTTTCATGAGCTACAATATACAAATCAGAATCATCAATATTTGCAAGAAACTTAATTAATTTGATGAACAATTACATACATTTACTTCCGCAACTGTTGAATTTATAAAATGTTTCCTTGCAGTCAATTCCTTATTATCGATTTTAAATTTTGTAGGATTTTTTTCAACAATATGTAATGCGTGGTTAAGAAAAAATATTCACTAGGTATAATTACAAGATGGATATAGTTAATAAGATCATTAAAGTGATGTTTTTAGTTATTATTTTTAGCTATTACATTAAAAAGGATATTTATTGTGTCTTCCAAGTCCTCCAAATCCCATTCTATACTTCTCAAAGAATTTTTTAATTCATTGTTCATCCACTCAGTTTCATCTTTGGTGATGCAAATTGAGTTATTTTGTATTTCCAGCCAGCGTTGATACAATCCTCTGGTTTTATTTAAGGCGCGAAATACTTCTCTGAGTAAAAAAAATTGTTCATTTTTTACATATATACACCACGTCCCACATCTCACATCCAGCATGTTTTTCAAATAATCATATTATGAACTGGACAAATTTATTTCTCTGAATTAGCTGTATGAATTTTCATAAAAACTAATGATATTTTTGGAAATCTCCCCTTTGGTGACAATTTTAGCCATACTCTTAATTAAATATACTTCATTTAATTATCTGCTTTAACAATTATACAATAAGAATAAAACCTTCAAACTATCTGTTTTGTAAGTCATTCAGAGAAAAAAAACGTCTTCTATTTACAAATTTATTCATTAATTTATTTTTAAGCAATAATATCTGTTCTAATTCATTATATTAAGTATTGCCAATAAATTGAACGATTGTACAACATAAATGAAAATAGTTTTTAAATGAAAAACGCTGAGAAGTAATGTGGGACATACTGTATATATCAATATAGAATATTCAATAAAATTTCGCATAATAAACGTGCATTTTATTATGAAAACACAAAAAAGGACAAGTGTAATAGATCTGTAATCGTTACAATCACTTCAAATTGAAATTAAAACAAGCAAGAAAGCTTTTAGTAAAAAAATAAGCATTTTAAACTTGTGACACATTTCTGCTTAATATATAATTTTTAAAAAACAAAAGTAAATTTGAATATTTTTTGAAATGTAGTTAATCTTTTAGAGAAACANTGGGTGTAATTTATGCAAATAAAATTAAAACATGATTTAGGCGGTATTGTAAATTACTGGGTAAATTTTTTAATACATTTTAATTTGTAATTATATAAAAAAGAAAATAATCAGTATTTGCGTTACATTTTCGTCTTAGAAAAATTATTTAAACTAATGATGGATTATCTTGGTTTCTTTGCAGAGTAGCTTATTAAAACAAATAAGCATGCAATCAAGCCAAACGTTCTAATAAATTAACAATAAACAGCATGTAAAGAACAAAAACATTATATTGTTTACATATTGCTACTGCTTACTCTTTAACAACGAAAAAAGGGTCTTCCAACGTCATGTCAAACGGTATAGGAAGGCAAAATATTGCCAAAGAGAACTAGCGACGAATTATTTAAAACCATGTGGAAATAATATGTTTCTTTATCTCTATTTTGCTGCCATGTTAATGAATTTAAATAATTAACCGATAAGATATCGTAAATATGTCGAACGTGCTCAACTCACCTTTAGATTTATTATTACCCTATTTAGTGCACGAACTAAACAATAAACCTTAAAATATCATAAAGTGATCAAGTATAGGCAACCTTACTTACATTTGTGCTACGATTGTGCATACTACTTTGTAAAAATGTATAGTTAATGTATTGATATTTAATTAAAGTAAAATTAATTAAAAATAACCATAAGTTATAGAATTATTAATGTTTGTATTTATTTTAAAAAGATTATTTATTCTTGACTGAAAATGTTTTTGTCACTGTTGTCCTTGAAATATAGTGTAATTTAGTATATTAGGTTGGTGACAGCACTGAGCTATGTATTTTGCTTCCTTTGATGGCTTCCTTTTTACAAATGGCCTTTTCCGCCTGGTGGTAGTGCTACGAAGGAATTAGGTTAATTTATATAAAGGTAATAGTGTTTTTAATTTTGTTTAGTGAATGCAATTTAATATTTACATTATTCTGTGTAAATTAAAGAAGAATGTAAATTCGGATTTGTATTACTTATAATCATTTTAATGTATTAAAACGAAACACGTGGTGGTCCATACTGGTGTAAATTTTTCTGCACTTACTGAGTTAGGCCCCTTTTTCGAGATAACTACATGATGATATATTTTAATTCTGACACCTCTTGACAGAACAAAACATTGGTGACTGTAAATTTTCTGATTTTAATTTTCTATAACCTATATATAACCAATATTTGTGGAAGTAATATTTAACAGAATTTTATTTTCAGAAGACTCGTTGGGAAAATGGCCGATGATTACGACAATTTCGATGATCCCCATACCGGTGTGATAGCACCAGCAGTTGCAGAATTGCCTGAAATAAAATTGTTTGGAAGATGGAGTTGTGATGATGTACAAGTGTCTGATATGTCTTTGCAGGTCAGAAATTCAATTTATAAATATAACATTGCCAAATTTATCTGTATTACAGTTTAGATGATGATTTTACTTTTTATTTTCTGACATCTCTGCAGAAATAAACCTTGTTGACTTTGTTCTAACTGAGGATTTGTGTATACTTTTAGTACTTGTTCACTTTTGCTTTTGTGCAAGTCTAAACATACTTTTATTTTGCAGGATTACATTGCAGTAAAAGAGAAATATGCCAAGTATTTACCTCATTCAGCAGGTAGATATGCTGCAAAACGTTTTAGGAAAGCACAGTGCCCCATTGTAGAACGTTTAACAAACTCCTTAATGATGCATGGGAGGAACAATGGTAAAAAGTTGATGGCTGTTCGTATAGTTAGGCATGCCTTTGAAATAATACATTTACTAACTGGTGAAAATCCGCTTCAGGTATATTTTTTATTATTGTACATAAACTATGGCCAGTTATGTAGTTATTTTGTATTATTTTAGATCCTTGTAACAGCCATCATTAACTCTGGGCCCCGAGAAGATTCTACTCGTATTGGACGTGCAGGTACCGTCAGACGACAGGCAGTTGATGTTTCCCCATTGAGACGTGTCAACCAGGCAATCTGGTTATTATGCACAGGAGCCAGGGAAGCTGCATTCCGTAACATTAAAACAATTGCTGAATGCTTAGCTGATGAACTCATCAATGCTGCTAAGGTATGTTTTATTCCTTTTCTTTCATTATTGTTTATAATTTTATCACTTGAAATAAAGGTTTTTATTTGTAGTATAAAATGATCATTTACTTTTTAGAAGAAATTACAATCTTTAAAAATACAAAGGACTAGGGTCCATAAGAGTAAGAAAATAGCCCCCATAATATTCAGCCTGATTAGTTTTCAAATAATTTATTATTTTTTTTATTGTTCCTTATTGTAATAAATCATAACATTTAGGATTACTCCAATAGTTGAACACAGTTATGCTGGTTATTGCGTTTGAATATTTGTCTTTTTTTTTGTATCCCCTTATTATTGATACATTTCATTTTGAGCAAAATGTACAAATTATTTTTCTTTTATGTTATACATCTAGGAAAAACATATTTCGGAATCTAAGTGGTAACTTCTTAAGCTCAGTATAAAATTTTATCAGCTATAATAAATAACAAAAATACAAAAAATGGTCAAATTTGATCACCAAAATAAATCTGTTTAACTGTTGGAGTGATTCTAAAAGTTATGGATATTTAAGATAAGTAGCAGGAATAATAAAAGAAAACTATTTAATCACATGAAAAGAATATGTATATACAAAAAAAAATAAACAAGATTACAGAGGGTAAAGAGAGCTTTTTGTGTAATAGACTTCAAGGAAATATCAAAACACTTGTACACATTAATTAAAGATTTTTTTTATAAAACTGATATTGTTATGGGGGTCATTTTTGTATTTTAACAACCCTAGTCCTTTACTTTAGAATCCAAACTGCTGCTTTTACTTAAAGCCTACTAATTTTATTAAAAATTAAGTTTCTTATTTTGCTACAGAATTTTATGTTATTTTACACCCTAAATGTCCATTCTAATTCATCTAGAAAACATTTATCTCTAGACGCTTCGCTAATGGACAAAATTACTGCAGTAATTCAGAATGTTTAGTTAAATAATATATATTTAATTGAATGGTTTATTCTGCTACATTTACCAGCTGTATAACATTTCTGATGTTAAATTTTTTTAATTGTGTATAAACATCAAAAATACTTTCAGGGCTCATCAAATTCGTACGCTATCAAGAAGAAAGACGAGTTGGAGCGTGTTGCTAAGTCTAATCGTTAAGTTAAATTTTTATATATTTTCTGTTGAAACAAATTCTTTGTTTCACAGAAGTAATAAAAAGTATATAAGATTTTTCAAGTTTTACTAAACCGACTCGTTATTATTCCATTATAAACCCATAATTCCTGCCATTGCTTTGTTTAATAGTACTTTCAAGGACTATAGTCTTTGTTCTATCTATTTTAAATTTAAAGTTGGCGCGTTAATGCTAGTGCTTTTTACGTCCCAGTGGCACCACTATTATTAAATTAAAGTAACTAGAGAGATAGGTTATAAAATTATAAACAGTCTGCTTAAAATATTAAGTAAAATATCAAGTCTAAGAGGATCTAAAGTGAATTAAAAATGAGCGAAAACGGTTCCCAACAACCTAGAGATAACAAACGGAAGCATAAATATTATGGTGTCCCTGCGAAACGGAATAAAGGCGTAGAAGTTGGTCTGAAGGGGTTCCTTTGCAGCTGCAACTTTAAGGAAAACGAATGCGTTAAAGAATCCTACAATATTTTGAACCACTACGTTGATACATTTTTTGTTGATAAAAATGAATCTCAAGAAAGTGAGAATACAGCAGAAACTGAGGACGTTCTGGCAGCTGAATTGGCTTATCTGAGAGAACGACATAAACGTTTTCAAGTACTTGATTCTGGTGCCAAGAATTTTTTGTTTATAAAAACAACATTGGAAAATCCCGTTGAGATTGTTCAAAAAATTGTGGAAGATATTATTTCCACAAAACAGCAAATATCTCGTTACCTTTTAAGGCTGATTCCTGTTGAAGCTGTCTCTAAAGCATATGTGGAGGACATTGTAAAAAGTCTCACCCCTCTTCTTCAAAATCATTTTAAAGATTCTGATAAATCCTTTTCAGTTATTTATAATCACAGAAATAATGATGGTTTGTCTAGGGATGCTTTAATAAAAGAAATTGCAAGTTCAATTAATTTATTAAATCCAAATTGTAAAGTTGATCTAAATAATCCTGAACTTTCTGTTCTTGTTGAAGTAATAAGAGGCTATGCTTTTTTGGCTATAATACCAAATTTTATAAAGTACAAGAAATTTAATTTAATTTCTTTATCTCAAGAAGAGTGTGAAAACAAGAAATGCAGTTCTAAACCAGAAAGGAATGATCCAAAAGTAACAAAAGATGATTTTAATATAAAAGGAGTAAACAAAGAAGAAATTGAAGTGACAAAAGAAGATAAATAAAACATTTCAATGAGTACTAGTTTCCTATGTACAGTATCTTGTTTTATACTTGCTACATAAAAAGAATATTATTTTTAGTGATTACGTTGTTATAAGTTGATTATGTTTGTTTTATATATAGAAAAATAAGTTTATTTAATAAAATTATTTGAAAAACGCGCTCTTTTTGATTAACAAGATCAGTGGTGATTGCTTTTCGTAAGTGACGTTTTTGAACTATTAATAGTGATATTAGAGTGATTGGTCTTTTCGGCAGAAGACAAAATAGAATTTTATGCGTATTTAAAATAAATAGTAAAACAACATCTACAGTTTCGTATTTAAATAAAACAATTAGGCATTCTGTTAACAAACTTTTGAAGACTCGTCAAACAATATGATACTATTCCTAATTTGGGTATATTCTGATTTCTGATTAATATAAAAAAAATGAGTGTTATGCTGAAGTGTACGATGTGTTGCATACCTATTTACAAAAAATTCCTTTAAATTTTAATAATTGATTACAATATATCTATTAAAAAGCCATAATGGCCGACATCAGTAACAATGCGACAACAATTGAAAAAGAATGATGGCCGACAACTGCAACAATTAGAAAAGAATGATGGCCGACACTACGTCATAATGGAGCAATAAAAATGGCCGGGGGCAGGGGGAAGAACTAGTTAAATGTATGAAAATTTTGAATTGGGTCTTATATTTTTAATTTACTAGATTAGATATATATTTTGGCATAATAATTCATTAATTAAGTTTTGTAAAGTTCACATCCGTAAGAGTTCGCGACAGTCGCAATTTTGGGCAGCGATTGCGATGGTTGCGCATGTCAATTCAGTGCGAGTGGGTTACTTGTTCACGTAAATCTCGGTGTGCGGTGTTTTTGCCACTCATTTCATGATTCGATCGAATTTCCATTTTCTTTCATGTTTTCGGTTCTCCAAGTGTCATCGTATCAGCATACTACGTTCTGATTTTTAAGTAAACAGAAGGATGCGGTTAACTGGCTATTTGTCGAGTAGATAACAATAATTTACATTAGCAATACGGTAGGTGGTCTAACGACAACACCAGGTCCCGGTTGTTTGCTTGAATGCACGTGGTTTTTTGTAGGGATGCCGGCATCTACTTTGGATCCTGTTAATGCGGCGCTTCGCACTGCGCTATCAAAAAGTGCATCTAACAATTTAGACACTCAGCTGGCTGGTTCATCAAAAAAGGCTCTCTTGTCAGATATACAATTTGAATCTGCAGGAAGCTATCAAAATTCAATTTTAGACAAACTTAAATCAAAGTACATTGTGCTAAAATCAAGTGAAACACAAGGAAACAACAGGTAAAGTTTGTTTTTGTTTTTTTAAATAGTTGGTTAGATCTTTATTTACTGTTTTAAATTGTCAAATCTTGAGGTTAAATACACTATGCAAGCAAGTTTTTCTTAATTTCTATTTTGTAGCTCACAAAATAAAAGTAAACAAGAAAATAGTATGGGTGCAGATGAGAGTTTAATAGCTCAATATGAATTATTCCCATTAAAAAATGTTCAGCTCGGATGGAATAACACAAATTGGTCAGTTGGTGCTGGCATGGTAAACATGGGCAACACTTGTTATCTTAACTCTACGCTTCAAGCACTTTTTCATGTACCTGCACTAGTAAATTGGTTGATTTCTGATAGACAACATGTGAACCAATGTGAAGATCTAGGTTAGTTTATAATTATTGATACTGTTTTGTTTTCAAAGCAATCCTCAATTATATTAGGAAAACAAATACATTTCAAATTAACGTACTTATAAAACTGATATTGGCACATTATGTATTAGTTTTTTTTCATCAGTTTCTTGTTTTTAAATAAAACTAATAGAATAATACACATTAGTTATAAAAATATGTATACACAGAGTAAAAATTACAATGTGGTTAATAATTAATAATAATTATATAATTTTTATTTCATTTGCCAAATTTGATTGTTTTTTTTTAAATTTATTGTTAAACAAATTATGTACTAAATATCATTTAAATTCTTATTTATCTGCAGGAGGAGGGATGTGCATAATTTGTGCGATGAGAAAAACGTTGCAAGATTCTCAACAGCATAACGTAAATTCGTTCCGTCCATTTTTAATTTATAATAAACTGAAGGTGGTGTGTAGAAATCTTATACCAGGTCGACAAGAAGACGCACATGAGTTTCTAAGATACCTCGTTGAAGCTATGGAAAAGGCTTATCTGAACCGGTTCAAAAATCATTCAGAATTTGATTCCCGAACGAAAGAAACAACTCCACTTAATCAAATATTAGGTGGTTATCTTCGATCTACAGTTAGATGTTTAGAATGTGGACATGTTAGTACAACATTTCAGCATTTCCAGGACCTGCTTCTCGATATTAGAAAAGCTCAGACCCTTGAGGAAGCTCTAGACGCATATTTTTCCCGCGAAACGCTGGACGACGAGTCTTATCAATGCGAAGCTTGCCAGAAAAAGGTAATTATAATAAAGGTTTTATTTTTCAAACTCATATATACAGTTCTATTTTAAAAATAAATGCTGTGCTTCTAATATTCTATGTATTAATACATAGTGAAACTTTATGTGATTAATAAGGGACAAAAAGCAAATAGAAGAGCTTTTTTAACAGTCATTTGAAGCTTTTTTTCTAGTTTATGTCATTTCTTTCAAAGCTATAACAATTCCCTAATGTTTAAATATCATTAATAAGGCTATCTGCAGGGATACAACTTTTCTTTTTTTCTGCCTTCCTATATATTTTTCAGCTATTTTCCTCCATTCTTGCATTAGCTCCTTCTTACCAACTTACTGTTGTAATAAAATAAAACCGAATTTTCCATTTTTTCCATAATTTGTTTCCCTTATACTATTTACGGTTGCATCCCTGAATCTGTTAACACGTGTACTTTTTTCTCGTTTTCTGTTAAATATAAGAGTAAGTAGCTAACTGGTACTTTTTCTTGTTTTTGCAGACATTGCAAGAGTGTGTTGTTTTTTTCATTATAGGTTCCTGCCACAAAGCAGTTTTTCGTCGAACGGGCGCCAATGGTACTTTGCATCCAATTAAAACGCTTCTCCGTCAGCAACAACAAGATAACAAAACATGTGCAGTTTCGTCAACGACTTGAACTTACAAAATATATGAGACGAAAACCACAGAATTCATTAATGTATAGATTGGTCGCAATGGTAACGCACATGGGCCCTACAGTCTCTTGTGGCCACTACACTGCAGTAGCACAGGCACCTTCTGGAAACTTTTACCAATTTGATGATAGCATGGTAAGTAGTCTTGTCATAAAGTACTAAATAAGACAACTTAATTAATTAGTTGGAAATTACGCGGTTTTTGAAAAGCTGAATCTTTATTGTTATAAGTGTTCCATAATTTACATTTTTTTTTTGTTTTTAGGTAAGACCGATATCACACCAAGCTGTTTTCAGTACAAATGCCTACATAATGCTGTATGAATTGGAACCACAGTCAAACAATTTTAAAAAAAGCATTGTATCGCCGACAAGTAGCGTCTCGTCTAACGCGGACTCAGAATTGGCGCTTTGTAACAACGCCAAATCGATTCAATTGAACGGCAACGCCAATAGAGTATATGGTCCCGAACTACCCCCAAAAAATCCAGAGATTAAATCCGCAATACCGTTACCGCCACCTGAACAAAAACCACAACAGAACGGTAAATGCCCGTCCGTGGTTATTACAAACGGTAACGGTAAGGCGTTGTTACATTCGGCCTCGTCATCCGCGTCCTCCTCCTCAAGTGATAGTGAACTCGAACAGCATACAGACAAACAAAAACAAATACATCAACCACAACCACCCAATAGTGGCGTCCTTACATTAAAAATGCCCACCAATAACAATATGAACAATACGGCTGCTAACTCTAACAAATGTAGAACTGATAATTCAATAATAGCCGACAAAAAGGAAACAGATAATAGAAAACAATTAACGCCGGAAAAGAAAACCCAAGTTAATAAGGGCAACGATTCAAAAGTGACTACTACAAAGCAGTTAGTTCCGTACGACATGGACGATTCTTCGAGTTGTTCTGAAGAGAACAACGCGTCGACTATGAATACGGTGACAACTGTTCAAAAGGTACAGGAACCTCCTCGGATAACGACCAAGGCGGCTGGGGGTGAGTGGAAGGTGTCGTCATCGACGCGGGACGACACGGGGCCCTCGTCCGAGGGCAAGAGTTGGGATAGGCGACGGGCAAACGTAGTTAACGATCTGCTGCGCATGTCACATGCGGGTTACTCCTCTCCAGTCGTCACTTGGAACGGGACGCGGTCCCAACTTGATCGCGCGGTCAACGAAGAGAAACAACGGGAAGAGAGAAAAAGACCAATGCTTGACGATGACGTTGATCAGGGTCGTGTCAAGTGTGTGAAATTGAATAATAATAATAATAATAATGGTAACCACAAAGCGAATAATCTCGGATACAATCCCTTACAAGTGAGTATTGGGTCGAGGGGGGGAGGGTTATTAAATACATCGACAAGTACCCCGATATACTACTTTAATTAGTTGCTTTTGTTTGTACTTATACCGATAATGACATAACGAAGTCAATCTTTCCCATGAGATCTAATTTAAAAATGATAAACCTAAAAAATAATTTTTAACTTTATTTCTGTCTTCTGTTTTTAAAGTAGGATATTGTCTTGTCTTTCGAAAAGAAACTAAACTTTTAAGTTTATAGTAATAACATTTATTATAGTCGGGTTGTTGTTCAACAGGTTTACCACAATTTGAAAAATTGGGGTCAGCAGAATAATAACAACAACAACAACAACCACTACAACAGGCATTTCTACAACGGTAACAACAGGCATCGGAACGGGAATCACCGGAACTTCCATAGAAATAAGAACTTTCATAAAAATAACTACCGTTACAGGCAGTAAGTTAAAGTTTAGTTTTCGCGCGCTTTTTTTCGCGTGACCGTGTGTACGTGTGTGTATGTAAATGTGCTCAAGCGGCTACATTTAGATTTATTTTGTATGATAATAAATATAGAAAAAACTGTGTTCTTGTAAATAATTGTAATTGCAGTTTTATATTTCTGTAATGTATGGTTTTTGAAAATGGCATTATGATCATTATAATTACGATGAGATGATTACGGTGGTGTTAGTACAATATGAAGAAGTGGCTTTTTTCGAGTATTTCTTTTTAGTGATATGTAATAAATTAATTACACATAGTTTTTAAACATTACGTAAGATGAGTGTTAGTTTTAACTTATTATTGATTACATTACCGAAAATATGTACATTATTGACCCCTCACCTTCATTACAATTACTTTTTTTATATACTTGGTTGCTTTTTATTTTTTGTCGACCCAGATATTTTTTATTTATATTTCAGGAACGAGTGATAATTGGCAATTCCCTTACAGGTAAGTTCTGTCATAAGTTTTAAGTACATCCATTAACTTAAAAATAAGATACGTATATGTGGTTTTTGAAGAACCTAAAGTCTGTTAGAAAATGCGCAGTTATTTATCCTAAAATATTAATACTGTTGTTATAGTGCCTTTTCCAGTATATTTAATTAGTTCTTCTCTATTTCATTAGGTGCGCCTCGTACCTATACTGTTGCTTTTCTGATCACACCAAGTATATTACTAACTCGATTTGCCCTTTTCATGACTTTAGAACAAATCAACGAATGAACGTACTTTTTTTAATCGCACAATCATCTTTTTATAGTTACTTTTATCAATTTCGAAGCAGAATTAATCACGTTATAGACAATAGTTATCGAAACAGAATCTATCACGTTATAGACAATAGTTGAATGTTGAATCGAGTTCCATCTTGTTTAACCATCAGTTTAAATGTTATGCCAAAAAAGGATTTAATTACCTAAGGATTATAATATTCATTGTGTTTTGTGATAAATATGGCAAGTGCAACTGTTTGAAAAAGAAGTTTTTGTGGGTGAGTTTAGTTTTTGAAGTTGTTTTATATTAACTGAATAGGTATTAAATAAAACCTGGGCGTAGGTATGATTCATTTCCTACATTCATATATATCAAGAAATTATTTTAGTTATTGTAAGATGAACAAATTTATAAATTGCTGTAATTTTAAAATATTCCCGTATTGTTATTAATAATTTTTTGGTGTTAATTTTAGATCATTTTAGAATTTCAAAATATGGTTTTAGAATTGCATCGCTTGTTTAAATTTGGGGATTATGCATAATATTTAATTGTTTTAAAAGAATTTTAGTGTTATTTCAAACCCTTGTTTTTACTTTGGTTTGTATTAGTTTTTGGAAGTTGTTTTATATTAACTCAATAGGTATTAAATAAAATCTNATTAACCCTCATTACTACTGCTGTTTTCCTATACGCTTCAATTATTATTTATATTAAACTCCGTTTCTACTCTTGCCTTTGTTAACGTATTTATTACCTCCCATCTTTCAACCTTATCATCCACAAACATTAATATATTTCTAACTGCATCTGCATCACATTTATTATCATATAAATCGCGTTTATCGCACCCTTCCCTTTCTGAAACCAATTTGCGTTCCACTGAGTACTTCTCCTTTGTAATTTGCTCCTCTAGCCTATTTCTTATTATTTTAGTGCATATTTCAAACCTCGTATTCATAATTGCAATACCTCTGCAATTTTTGACACTAAGTATTCCTTGTCCTCCTCTTAAATACGATACCAGTCACCCCACATTTGCATGCTTCAGGTTCCTTATCATTCCTCTCCTATATCCCCACTATAATTTAATATAATTTCTCTAATACTATATCGCCTGTACATCTTCAAGATTCCCCAGGAAATTCATCTAGCCCAACCGCTTTTTTCTTCTCCATGTATTCAATGCATTGTCATATCTCTCCCTTTTCCACCAACAACCTTCTTTTCATCATTCTTCAGTCCTATCAGCCACCATTCCTCTCTCAATAATCATGAATTACTTCATCCTCTTAATCATATTTTCCCAAACCTCAATCCATTCAACCCTTTCTTCCACCTTCTGTCTAACCTATCGTATTGACCCCTGCTCCAAATCAGACATTTCCTTATAATTCCTTTACATCCCCATTCCCTTATTTCTACTTTTAATGCAATTATTATGAAATACATTACAATTACTTTTTATCTTCAATTTTAAGAGGTCGAAAATTGAGTTGCGCTTTCTTATGTACATAATTTCTCTGTAGTTTTCGAGTTTTAACAACGAAATTTAGTTTAATTTAAACTGCAGTCAAAAACTGTTTCCTGTACGTTATTCCCCACGATAACAATTTTTTTAAATTTAGTTTTCCCAAAAAATTGACTCGTTGCCGTTTTTAAATATCATTTTTGTATTTAATATGGGTAGATAAATACTCAATAAAGAAGCTTTTATACTTTCGTTTGAATTTTAAAACTTAAATAATGCAGATTATCACAGAAATTTTTTGTCTTATGCAAAAATTGGATTTCAATACTTTCTTCTAATTAAATGTAGTGCTATTATATGCCATTTCGACTGTGTATTTTCGATATTTAGATATTTCTTTTAACGTTATGCAGGAAGCAGTAGTAGTCCTAAAATTTCACCCTAATAAAGGATAAAGTACCTTGGAGGAGTCGTGCTGGGAACGAAGTGATGAGATGAAATTGCGCCTGCAACGGTGAGTGCTCCTAATTTATTTTTGTTTAGAAATATTTTTATTTCCTAATCCGTTTTACATTTTAAAAATTTATCATTTGGATAGACTGAACCTTTTTTTAATTTTTAAAAATGACTACGCTTAAAACTTTTCTCTTTTCGATGGATTAAATATAATGAATTAATATAATTAGGCCAGAGACAACTTTTATTTTTATCTGGGAAAATTGAATGTTTGTGGGCTTCTTTAAATATTACTATTATATTTAACATGACTAAACTTAAACAATAGATTTATTAACACAGAGTATCTCATGCGAAAATTGGATTGCAATATAGAAAATTTATTGAACTCTAGGTTATAATAACAAGACAATAATCACATCTTTCCCTTATATTTTTAAATAAATGCGCCGCAGGCTTCTTTCCAACCCCTTTTTTGTCTTTAATAAAATATTTCTCAACTTTCTATGTTATTGTTACTATCATCCACCCCGCATCTACATTCATCCATTTCTTTTCTCAACACCTCATTCTAGCACTTGTATCACCCTTTCACTTCTTTCTTCCTCTTTCATCCTGTATATGCATTCCTTACTGTGCTATTGCACCCTTTCCTTTTGTCTTAATAATAAATTTATTGAAATTTATTTCTGCCACCTCCTAATACTTATTTCATTCCTTTCTAACTTTTTCAAAATCTTTCTTAACAGAAAAAATTCCTCTTCGCACCCGTTTATTATTCTCTTACTCCCTTGTATTCACCCAAATTCTTATACTTTTTGATTACATCCCCTCAGCTCTTGTATCAAAGTTTCATCTCCTCTTTCACATATTCTATATATCTATTCTTTCCCTCATCATTAAATACTTACACATCCATTCCATTTCACATACTTTGGCTCACTATCACCTTGCCAATAAAGCTTTCAAGCATTTCACGTACTTCGACTTTTTTAAATTTTTCTCAGATCACCTCCCCTTATTATCTCCACACTTTTTATTTTCACCATTTTTCCTGCACACAAATCCATCCTTATCTATTCAGTTAATTGCTCTTGGTTCGGCTTTAATCTCCTAATGTTTCTTCCCTTTCTTTATTGTATCTGTTGTTTATACCAATTTGTAGGATTCTCTTTCTCCATACCCCCTTCTATTTCCCTTCCTTTAACATATCCAATTTCACCTCTTTTTTTCTTGTTTCTTTTACCACTTTATGTACATTTTATATGTTCTCAACTTGTTTCTGCCCTTTCCCCTCCCATACATCCACCCCATAAAAAGCTATATACTTCTAATCATTGCATTAAATAATCTCTTCCTGTTCTAATTGTTCTTGCATAGTCTTTACCCTATTCCCCATATACTCCCTATAGGACATTCAGCCCAGCAATTTGTGCATGTTTTTGTGTCTTATTACCAATTACTCTCTTTTTTGATCTCTTCTATTACTTCTCCTGTTCAACTTAACTACTTTTTTACTCTTCCCTTTCTACTTCTTATATACTTATCCAAATTTCATGTGCCTATTTTGTCTTAGTAACATTCAATTGCAATCCTTATTAAATATTTTTTAGAACCCTCATCATTTCTGTCAATGCACTATGATTTGTAGACGACAAAGCAATGTCATCGGCACTAGACAACGAACAAATTTTCCTCCTTCTCACTACTATCCCATTCCCTTTACTTTGCTCAACTTTTTCTCCAAATTACTTAAATATAATGTTAAATAAACGCGCACTTAATTTACACCCCTCCCTTATTCTTTTCTCCGTCTAAAATTTTCATGTTTCTTTTCCTTTTATTCTTATTACGCCAGCTATTTCGCTATTATTCTATAATTCCTTCTTCTAAGTCAGTTACCCTTAAAATATTTAACGAATCTCCCTTGTCCACTGTATAATACGCTCTTTTTAAATCAACAAAGACTTTGTATACTTCTTTTATCTCTAAATATGACTGAATTACGTTCTTTAACAAAAAAATCGCATCGATTGTTCCCTTTCGCTTTCTGTACCTACCCAAGTTGTGCTTCCCTTAATATAATATTTTCTACAATCATATCCTCCAACCTACATTTAATTTTATAAGCAGTATCTATTGTTGTTATACTCCTACAATTTTTAACATTTTTCCTTCGCTCCTCTTTATAAACCGGCACAATCACCTTCATTTCCATTCTGCTGGTACTACTACACTACAATCCCATATTTATCAACCCCTCACTACCTTCCTTTGTCACACCTTTATCGCTATCCTAAAAAATGGCATCCTATTCCTTAAAAGTACCTTCAGTCAGCTGAGCCCACCCCCATCCTCATTTAGAAATTAATAGCATTCACCTGGTCGAAAATTGAGTTGCGCTTTTCTATGTTTAACATTTGTACGTGGTTTTTTGGGTTTTAACAATGAAATTAGGTTTCATTTAAACTGCAGTCAAAAACTGTTACCTTCACATTATTCCCCACATTTTTATGTATTACATTCACCTTTAACATCTTTTAAAATAATTGTTTAACTGATCGAAAATTGAGTTGCGCTTTTCTATGTTTAACATTTGTACGTGGTTTTTTGGGTTTTAACAATGAAATTAGGTTTCATTTAAACTGCAGTCAAAAACTGTTACCTTCACATTATTCCCCACATTTTTATGTATTACATTCACCTTTAACATCTTTTAAAA